GATCACAAAAAAGATCTCCAAAATCTTGAATAAACACAAGATCCAGGTCCGTTTCCAACACATTACATAAAATCCGTGATCTGGTTCCGTCTGTAAAAGATGTGATTCCGGACATACAATACCCTGGTGTCTACAAACTAAGTTGCCTCTGTGGTAGTAGTTACATTGGAGAAACCAAACGCCATGTCTCAGACCGCATTCGTGAACACAAATCAGACCTTAAACACGGTAGGACCAACACCTCGGCCGTGGCAGATCATTGTTCTAATTCAGTAGGCTCACATGCCATTGACTTTTCCAAGACAGAGGTTCTTTGTAAGCCATCTGGCTTCCATGAGAGATTCGTTCATGAGGCTATCCACATATACAAGCACAGAGACAATTTCAACCGAGAAGATGGATTCTATCTTAGCAATCATTGGAAAGATTTGATAAACCATTTCAGGTCTTAATTGATTGTTCACGCTTACAGTGGCTTTCAGACAGCATACATTATAAAAAAATTCGTCTCCCCCCTCCTCTTTTCAGAATATAGATGGACTAGTCCTAAATAAACTGCCAAATCGTTGCGCGTGGCGCTAACGTTTTTATAAATAAATAAATGCGCCGTTTAAAAATAAATTCATGCAAACCAACACACCTGAAGACGACCGTTTGAGTTGTGGTCGAAACGTCGTGATAATTTTTTTTATTGTTTTATATATATTTTATTATTTTGTTGTTTCCCTTCAACGTGACTTTACCGAAAAAACTAAGAATATGAATTACTGCAGTCACGAAAGCTTTAAATCAAAAGCTTACGTCATGTAGGGAATGTGGAGGGAGGGTAACATGAGAGCCTATGGGAGCTCAATGTGTCGCTGCTGGCAGGAGGTCATGGGACAGACCCAGCAGGTGCCATGGGTTGACTGCTGTGCCAGGCTAGGTACAGGAAGCAGTCACGGGACAGACCCAGCAGGTGCCATGGGTTGACTGCCGTGCCAGGCTAGGTACAGGAAGAGGTCACGGGACAGACTCAGCAGGTGCCATAGGTTGACTGCTGTGCCAGGCTAGGTGCACTTGGAGGTCACGGGACAGACCCAGCAGGTGCCATGGGTTGACTGCTGTGCCAGGCTAGGTACAGGAAGCGGTCACAGGACAGACCCAGTAGGTGCCATGGGTTGACTGCCGTGCCAGGCTAGGTACAGGAAGAGGTCACGGGACAGACTCAGCAGGTGCCATGGGTTGACTGCTGTGCCAGGCTAGGTGCAGGAAGCGGTCACGGGACAGACCCAGCAGGGGCCATCGGTTGACTGCCCTGCCAGGCTAGGTACAGGAAGAGGTCACGGGACAGACTCAGCAGGTGCCATGGGTTGACTGCTGTGCCAGGCTAGGTGTAGGAGGAGGTCACGGGACACACCCAGCAGGTGCCATTGGTTGACTGCTGTGCGAGGCTACGTGCAGGAGGTCACGTGACAGACCCAGCAGGTGCCATGGGTTGACTGCTGTGCCAGGCTAAGTGCATCTGACGACAAACATCTGGGCAGTTCACCACCATTGGTTCAAGCCGAGCCTGTCTCTTGCTTCTGCTGATGAGACACGGAGCTGGGCAGACTCCAAATACACAGCATCAGCACGCATCGTCAGGGTCGGGATGGAACCCACGACCTTCTGTATACCAGGCGAGGTAGTTAACATCTCCCAGCCACTGTGATGATGAGAGAGAGAGGCATACACTCCAAATATACAGCAGCAGGCATCGTCAGGGTCAGGATCGAACCCATGACCTCCTGTATACCAGGCGAGGTAGTTAACATCTCATCAGGGTCGGCATTGAGCCCACGACCTCCTGCGTACCAGGCGAGGTAGTTAACATCTCATCAGGGTCGGAATTGAGCCCACGACCTCCTATGTACCAGGCGAAGTAGTCAATATCTGGATCCAAATTACCTGAGACCCCAGGCAGCAGCAACTCGCCACAACAAACACAACTGCAACGTTCTGTTGAGTCCGCTTATTTATTAACAACAATCGATAAACAATGGTCTAGATATATATGTACACATTACATTATAACTTATTTTGTATCTCTATCCTCTTCACACGCGCACGTGGCTAGGCTGGCTGTAGTCCATTGTGTGGTGAGTGTGGGTGGTGAGTATGGGTTGTGTGGCTGGTGAGTGTGGGTGGTGTGGGTGGTGAGTGTGGTGAGTGTGGGTGGTGAGTGTGGGTGGTGAGTGGGTGGTGAGTGAGTGGTGAGTGTGGTGAGTGTGGGGGGTGAGTGTGGGTCGTGAGTGTGGGTGGTGAGTGCGGTGAGTGCGGTGTGTGGTGGTGGTGGTGGTGCTGCTGCTGCTGCTCGTGGTGGTGGTTGCACCGATTCCACCACCACCACTCCGCTACTCTGCCGTGGGCCGTCCACCACAGAGGAGCAGGCGGCCGAAGAGCGAGCGGAGCGCCCTGCGCACACGCGCCAGAACCCCTCGCTCCCTCTCCTCCTCCTCTTCCTTCTCTTCCTCCCCTTCCTCCTCCTCTTCATCCTCCTCCTTCTCTTCATCCTCCTCTTTATCCTCCTCGTTGTCGTCATCCTCCTCCTGTGTCTCCACCACCTCCGTCCTCTCTCTAAAGGTCTGGGTGAGCAGTGACGATGGTGATGGGAGCTTCTCCTCAGGCTCCGCTCTGTGGAGAGAGGCACCAACACCACAGCAGCGCATCATCGTCATCATCGTCGTCGTCATCATCATCGTCATCATCATCATCGTCATCATGATCATCGTCATCATCATTGTCATCATCGTCATCATCATTGTCATCGTCATTATCATACCCACAGAGACCCATAGACCTACAGAGACCCATACTCATAGCGACCCATACAGACCCATACTCATAGAGACCCATACATACTCACAGAGACCCATACTCATAGAGACCCATACAGACCAATGCTCATACAGACCCATAGACTTACAGAGACCCATCCTCATAGAGACCCATACAAACCCACAGAGACCCATACTCATAGAGACCCATACAGACCAATGCTCATACAGACCCATAGACCTACAGAGACCCATCCTCATAGAGACCCATACATACCCACAGAGACCCATACTCATAGAGACCCATACAGACCAATGCTCATACAGACCCATAGACCTACAGAGACCCATACTCATGTAATGAGAGCGCCATCTCCTGTATTATATGGGGTGTGGTGTGATATGCAGTTATGGGTTATCTCGGGGAAGGATTACATCGAGGCCAAAGGTAATGGGGCAGAGCCACCCGGGAAGCCTCTGGAACGCTCCCGAAGGTTCCATGAGAGGCGTGGCCAGAGGCGGAGTTTAGTCGCCGGGGAGCGAATATAAGCGGGGGCCGGAGCAAGGTGCGGGGTCGGTGTGTGAAGAATCAAGAGGAGCTTCCCGTCGCCGCCGCTGCTCCGCCATCTCCATGGGCCATGTGGCGACTCGACCTTCAGCCACTCAGCCGCTCCCTAGCCAGCGCTGTCAGCCAGCGGCGTGCTAGAGAGTGGGGCGAGCGCCAAGTGGCGCAGGGCAGCGAAGCCGCTTGGGGGGCCATGCATCCGTGGTGCGAGTGACAAGAGACGAGTAGACAGCCAACTGTACCGAAGTTTTATTAATAAACGTTTCAAGTTCTTATCGTGTTGGAGCCACTCATTACACTCACAGAGACCCATACTCATAGAGACCCATACAGATCTACAGAGACCCATACTAATAGAGACCTATACAGACCCATACTCATAGACCCATATTCAGAGACGCACAGAGACCCATACTAATAGAGCCCATACAGACCCCAGAGACCCATACTCATAGAGACCCATACAGACCCCTGAGGCCCATAATCACAGAGACGCATAGACCCACAGAGACCCATAGACCCACGTAGACCAGAAGCGACTTGGCCATCTCGAATGATAGCCGAATCAAGTGGGCAGATAACATCATCATCATCTTCATCGCGTGGACATTCATAGCGGCAGTCAAATACTCGAAGTGCATGACACCGATTCTCAACGTGGAGGGGAAAATCCTGAGGACCCTGAGAAGAATCCACGCGGTGACCACGTGGACAGAAACGCAGACTGCAAATATACAGCAGCAGCTGGCATCGTCAGGGTCGGGATCGAGCCCACGACCTCCTGTATACCAGGCGAGGTAGTTAACATCTCATCAGGGCCGGGATCGAACGCACGACCTCCTGCGTACCAGGCGAGGTAGTTGACGTCTCATCAGGGTCGGGATCGAACCCACGACGTCCTGCGTACCAGGCGAGGTAGTTAACGTCTCATCAGGATCGGGATTGAACCCACGACCTCCTGCGTATCAGGCGAGGTGGTTAATATCTCATCAGGGTCGGGATCGAACCCACGAATTCCTGCGTAGCAGGCGAGGTACACAGAGAGAGGCTCACCGTGGCTCAGCAGCTGCAGATCCCTGCACAGGAGTGGTGCCACCGCTGCTGCTGATGGTGGCCCAGTTGGTGGTGTCGGCCCAGCTGGTGGTGGTGGCTCGGATGGTGGTGGTTGTGGGGGTGGCCTCGCTGGCGGTGAGTGTGGCCTCGCTGGTGGTGGTGGCCCAAGTGACGGTGGTGGCCCGAATGGTGGTGGTGGTGGGGTTGGCCTCGCTGGCAGTGGGGGTGGCCTTGCTGCTGGTGGTGGCCTCGCTAGCGGTGGAGGTGCCCCTGATGGTGGTGGTGGTGGCGCGGATGGTGGCATTGGTCGGGGTGGCCCTTCTGGTAGTGTCCCGGGTGGTGGTGGTGGTTTCGAGCCAGCTGTGAGCCAGCGCCTGCTCAGGCGTCATCCGAAGATTCGGATCCCATCTATTGGGAGACGCACGGGGAGGGAGGGGAGGGATGGGGGGAGACACACACGTGGTGAGAGGAGCATGGTGAGATGATTTGACAGGGTGGGAGGTGGGGGGAGAGTGGGGAGATAGCACGTGGGGGGAGAGATGGAGAGGGTGGGAGCAAGTGGTGGTGGGTGGTGAGTGGGTGGCAGAGCTGTCAACCCGTACGGTTTATTAGATATTCTTGTGCAGGGAAATTGTGTTTTCAGGTCCGTACGGAGTGCAGCCCTTTCCATTCTGGGTAACAACAATAATTCGTGTCTATTTGTTTGTTTGTCCCTTGTGATGGGATTTTGCAGGATGAACGTTGAGATTTATAAGGGTCACGGGGTGACCAATAATGTTGTGTCTGTAGTAAGGTAGGGCAGTGATAAGGTGTTGACAGGTATGGGGTGGTGAGTGGATGTAAGTGAGTGGGGGTGAGTGGTGTGGGGATGAGTGGGGGTGAGCGAGGGGTGAGTGTGGTTCGTACTGCAGGCAACGGCTGACGAAGTCCACCAGCTGAGGGTGGTGGCCCTGCAGCGCGCGGTGCAGAGGGAGGCTTCCCGGTGGCTCCTGCTTGGACAGGTTGTAGGGGAGGCCCTCAGGGTCTGCAGAGACAAAGAGATGCACGCAGAGTCACCAACCACCACGTCGCCCACATACCCGCTCATCCACTTACCTACCCACATACCTATAGACCGACATACCCACCAACTCACACACCTGCCCACTTACCCACCTACCCTCACACCGACCAACTCACCCACCCACCTATGCACTTACCCACCTACCTATCCAGTCGCCCACCTACCTACCTACATATCCACTCACCCACCTATATACCCACTCTCCCACTCACTAACCCACCCACTCACCGACCCACCCACCTACCCACCCGCTCACTCACCCACCCACCTATGCTTCCTAACGACTATTACAAAGATCTCCAACCCCCACCCCACCCCCCACCTCCGGGATAATCAGAGCCCCCCCCCCCCCCCACAATAGAACCCTATAAGAGCCTCACTGCCACCCCCCCATCTAACAAAAGGGAATGGGTCACGTCGCTGGCGCCAGCCTGCCCGAGCCTTTGACTCACCAAAGTAAGTTGTCTTGTTAGGTGCTTCGTCCACCATCTTTTTCGGGGGCATGCCCAGGATCTGCGCACGGTTTCGGACAAAGACAAAAGGAGGAGGGGAGGGGTTACAGCCGGTGTAGCCTCAGCTTGCCCATTGGGGCAAGTGCCGTCTGTCAGCGGTGAGTAGTGGTGGAGGCAGCGCCTGTCGAGGCCGGCACTGTGTACAAAGACAACAATCCCTCCATCTCCTTATTAGACTCATCTCATTGCTAGGGCAAGCGCTGTTAGTAGCGAGCAGCACCTATGAAGGCCAGCACTGTGTACAAATACAACAATCTCCCCTTCCCCGTATTAGCCTCATCTCATTGCTGGGGCAAGTGTTGATTCATCGCAAGCAGCACCTATAAAGGCCAGCACTTTGTACAAAGACAACAATCCTCCCCCCGTCCACGTCTAAGCCTTATCTGATTGCTGGGGCAAGTGCTGTTAGTCGCGCGCAGCACCTATGAAGGCCGGCACTGTGTACAAAGAAAACAATCCCTCCCTCTCCTTATTAGCCTCATCTCATTGCTAGGGCAAGCACTGTTAGTCGCGAACAGCACTTATGAAGGCCGGCACTGTGTACAAAGACAACAATCCCCCCCTCCCTATATTAGCCTCATCTCATTGCTGGGGCAAGTGCTGTTAGCAGCGAGCAGCACCTTTGAAGGTCGGAACGGCACACAAGGGGGTGGGTGCCCAGCACCACGCCCGGCCACCTTTTTCTCCCCCAGTGGAAATGTTTACTACATACCGCTACACCAAGTACTCGTTTGAGGCTGCGTCGACCTATGAGAGGTCCAGGACCAGGTTAGATATTCCTCGCCGGTTGTTTGTGGCCGCCAGACGAATCAAACTCTATGAGTATTGATATCTGTGGGTCTGCATGGGTCTCTATGAGTATGGGTCTCTGTGCAGACCCACAGAGACCCATATCCATAGAGACCTGCCCACCCACCCACCCACCATACCCACCGTACCCACCCACCATACCCACCGTACCCACCCACCGACCGTACCTCGATGCAGTAGGGCAGGTGTTGTGTGAAGGTCCGTGAATCAAAGAGTTCCTTGCCGGTGGCCATCTCGGCCACGGTGCAGCCCAGGGCCCACATGTCCACAGTGCAGGTGACATAGTAGCCCAGCAGCAGCTCGGGGGCCATGTAGGGCAACGTCCCGCACACGTTTTGGGCTGCACAGCAACAACAACAACAATAACAACAACGACGATGAATATAAAGTAGCCCATCCGTCAACAGCGACGTGGGTTGAACAGGTTTCTTTTTTCGGTCGGTTAAATGCCTAGTCGGCTTCTGCGACCGATATTTCACGGCGGAGGCGAGTTTTTGGGTTGGACCGTGTACTCTGGCTGCCCGCCCGATGATGATGCTCAGCTGTAATCGCTCGAATTGTAAACGTCGTAGTGGATTTACATCTCCAGCACACCGGCTAGTGCTGTGCAAGTGGCGATTTGGAGCGTCCTGTTTACGTGACGCTGAACCTCACTTACTGGCTGCGTCGGATGGCGGCGGGTTTGACGACGCAACGTTTACGTTGACGCGATCTAACCCTGAAAAAAGAAACTCCACGCACGCAAAGCCACTCACTTTTATGCTTCAGGTAGGAGCTGCACCCGAAGTCGGTGACCCTGACTTTGCCGGCCGCGGTGAGCAGAATGTTATCCTGGACAAAGGGGAGAGACAGAGAAGGAATTCCACGCTCTGAGGTTACGGCAAGAGTGTCCAGCCAGCAGTGGGTCGATCACGCAAAGTGATGCATTTACACCCACACAGGCAGCCCCCCCCCTCCCACTTTTGGCATGGGCTATGTGCCTGAGACTCGTTCAAAGTCGTTTTAATAAACTACTAAACCTATTTGTTTTGTTACTACCAGGGTGTAAGGCCCCACTGAGCTGTTGTGTAGCTATTCTATCAGAAACGACCTGGCCATCACGTAATAACATCATCAGCATCATCATCATCATTGCGTGGACATTTATAGCAGCAGCCAAACACTCTAAGCACATGTTTCAACAGCCCATAGAGACCCATACACACCCACAGAGACCCATACTCATAAAGACCCACACAGATATAGAGACCCATTCTCATAGAGACCTACACAGACCAACAAAGACCCATTCTCATCGAGACCCACACAGACCAACAGAGACCCATACACATAGAGACCCATAAAGACCTCCAAAACCCTATACTCATAGAGACCCATAAAGACCGAAAAATACCCATACTCATAGAGACCCACATAGACATAGAGAGACCCAAACTAAAACTAAGCTATGTTTTACTTTACTAGGTGCAAGGCCCCACTCTGTGCTGCTGTGCAGCTGTTCTGTCAGAAGCGACCTGGCCATCACAAACGATAGCTCAACCAAGTGGGCTGATATCATCATCATAATCACGCGAAAATATTAAAGCAGTGGTCAAATACTCTAAAAGCTTGGTGATGTTGATTTTGAACGTGGAGGGAAAAACCGGAGGACCCGGAGTAAAATCCACGTGACCACCACGGGGAGAGAGAGACGCAGACTCCAAACATACAGCAGGCGTCAGGGTCGGGATCAAACGCACGATCTCCTGTATACCTGGCGAGGTAGTTAACATCTCCTGCTACCTCCTCCATCTGGAAGGAGGAGGTGGCATAGGCACAGTAGAAGGACGGAGCCAGCGCATTGACCCTGCGATCAACCATGGCCGGCCTACCTCTACGGTACGAGTGTCCACCTGGTCCCAGATCGTCTTCACCGGAGGTAAAGTGACCCCACCACCACCACTACCACCAGCTCCCTCCAGATGGACAGAGCCACCGCTTCGACCCCGTGATCAACAGTGGCCGGGCTGCCTCCGCGCCAGCTAACCGAGCGCCCCAACGAGAGGGCGCGACCACCGCGCCCGCTCCACTCACCGGCTTGATGTCCCCGTGGATGATGCCCCGCCCCTTGGCGTACAACAGGAAGTTGAGGATGGCCCTGGTGTACTCCCTCAACCGCCTCACGTAGATTCGCCCGATGCTCCCTTTGCTCATGACATCGTAGAGGCTCTTCCTGGCACGACAAGGACGACGACGACGACGTTAAAACCCCTTTCCCGTTCCGATAACGTCCGCAGGGCGACCCACAACTCGGACCCCAAACCGACTGTGCCACTTGGTTAGTTTTGGCGGGGGGGGGGGGGGAGGTCAGGGAACTCCTCGTCGCTCTGCGGTATTCATTTGCGTCGTCGCCGCGCTGCACTAGCGCCGAGCGAACTAACGCGCACAAAACATTGCCGCGGGTGAAATATTTAATGATAATAATTTCATTATGATTTCATTCTAATTTCACCGTGATTATGTTCTTATTACAATTTCTATTTTATTATTTCATTAAATACATAGTAATTTTTTATACTTTTTACATTGTGTACAGTATGGAAGCTACCCACATGCCAAATTTTAAGTTTGTAGCATGTTGGGAAGTATACTAAACATTTCGAACAGACACACATATTCACAAATTTCCCTTTTGCTGTATATATAAAGATTTCACTGGAAAACCCTGAAAAAAGGTTGATGCTTGCAAGAAAGAAAAAATCCTAAACAAATCAATTTCACTAAATCGGATGTTTTTCACTGAAGGAAATTCAACTTTAACCCACTTCTACGTAAGGTCGATTTAGGCAACTCGGGAAGGGAATGACGTGGCGAGCTGAATATAGTCGCGTTCCCTTAGAGATTCCAGACAGCGTAAGCTGTGCAAATTTCACGACGTCAGAGCTCAGCGTTCGAGAGTTTTTGCTGCTTCACACAAACAGATGGATTTTCTGCTTCATATTTAGGAGCGAGCTGAAATTCGTCGCGTTGACTTAGAAAATGGAGGCAGCTATGCAGCGCTTTTGTGCGGGATACACAGCCTACGAGGGGGTTGGGGGGGTTGGGGGGGGATGCGTGACGTCAGCAGGCACACTGCGTGACGCTGCCGCATGCGGGTGACATCACAGATGTGACGTCACCACTCACTTGCCGTGCAATGTATTACATGCATTATTCCGCCATCCCCCCCCCCCCAAAATACAAAAGTCTATTATTAGACTTTTTGCATTGTGTACAGTCTGGAAGCTACCCACATGCCAAATTTCAAGTTTGTTGCATAAACATTTCAAACAGACACAAATTCACAAATTCCCTTTTTCCACATGTAGATTATCAATATCATAAAAAAATTAGAATGTGTGATTCATGGGGAACGTTTCCGTGAGTCGCGTCTTCCGCAACCCAGGGGACTTCCTGCGTCTGCTTTGTCCCCACGGTGTTCTGCGATTGTCGATAATGCAGCGGTTCGCCGTGCTGAGCTGCTTGACCCACGGGGGCCACGTGGACGCGTGCTGCTCGACTTCCCAGAGCTTTGGAGACTCGGTTGCCAAACAAATTGTGATTGTAAAATTGTCAGATGAATTATTGCATAAATTAATTACCAAAATAGCAATTAAATAAGTTACGTCTTCGATTAAATTAATTCATTTAACGAGGCGAGACATATTTTGATGAATTGTTAATTATCTTTAAACTCACTAAATAAACTGCAAAATAAGTTTATTATGAAAGTTATTAAATAAAGCTATTGGGGAACAAATTAGAAAATTAATCCCCCACCCAACTTTGCCACACAGAAGTGTGGTCACCACATCTGTGCCTCTTTATAAGGAACGGAACAGGTGGAATTCTCCACAAAATCTGACTTTCGCCTGATGAAGCTGGTTGTAATTACTAGCGAAACATCGTACTCAGAGATTGCAAATGTTGTGGCTTGGCTGTCCAACACACCGTTGTGCTGTACCATTATACTACACTATACACTACACTATACACTACACTACTATACACTACACACTAGTGCTGTACTAGTAACGAATTGGCACGTTCTGTTTGCTTGACAACCCTTACTAGTTGGCTGTGTCGGGTCGTGGCGGGTTTAACGACGCAACATTTATATTTTTAAGAGATATAACCCAAAAATACCTCTATTATGGATTATAATGGTCGCAAAAGCCCTGCGTGTAAAACTCAATTAATAAATGTGATAAATCGATAAATCTAGTTGCTTGATCAAATATTAAATAAATATTAATTCAGAAATAAATCAACTATCGAACGGAGCAATGGAGACGCACGTGGGTGGGTGGTGGGGGGTGGGAAGGTTCACGTACTTCAAGAGCTCGACGACGAGGCAATTGTGGCAGCGGAATTCGAACGTGTCCAGGACCCGGATGACTCCGTAGCGCTCATCGCTGGCCCTGCCCTGCAGCTCCTTGGCCACCTCCAGCTCCGTCCTCTGGCGGGCCGCTGTCGAGGAGCTGCGCAGCGGGAAGGGGAAGGCCGCGAAATAAACGGTGACTCTGTGTGGGTGACTCTGTGTGGGTGACTCTGTGTGGGTGACTCTGTGTGGGTGACTCTGTGTGGGTGACTCTGTTTGGGTGACTCTGTGTGGGTGACTCTGTGAGGGTGACTCTGTGGGTGACTCTGTGAGGGTCTCTGTGCGTGACTCTGTGGGTGACTCTGTGTGGGTGACTCTGTGTGGGTGACTCTGTGTGGGTGTCTCTGTGGGTGACTCTGTGGGTGTCTCTGTGGGTGACTCTGTGTGGGTGACTCTGTGGGTGACTCTGTGGGTGACTCTGTGGGTGTCTCTGTGGGGGTCTGTTTGGGGGTCTCTGTGGGTGTCTCTGTGGTTGACTCTGTGGGTGACTCTGTGGGGGTCTCTGTGGGGGTCTCAGTGGGGTCTCTGTGGGGCTCTCTGTGGGGGTCTCTTTGGGGGTCTCTGTAGGGGTCTCTGTGGGGGTCTGTGTGGGGGTCTCTGTGGGTGACTCTATGGGGGTCTCTGTGGGTGAATCTGTGGGGGTCTCTGTGGGTGACTCTGTGGGGGTCTCTGTGGGTGATTGTGCGGGTCTTTGGGTGACTGTGGGGGTCTCTGTGGGGGTCTCTGTGGGTTTCTCTGTAGGTGACCCTGTGGGGGTCTCTGTGGGTGACTCTGTGGGTGATTGTGCGGGTCTTTGGGTGACTGTGGGGGTCTCTGTGGGGGTCTCTGTGGGTTTCTCTGTAGGTGACCCTGTGGGGGTCTCTGTGGGTGACTCTGTGGGGGTCTTTGTGGGGGTCTCCGTGGGTGACTCTATAGGTCTCTGTGGTTGTCTCTGTGGGTGCCTCTGTGGGTTACTCTGTGGATATCTGTGGCTCTCTATGGGTCTGGGTGTTTTTGTGTGCCTCTGTGGGTCTCTAAGGGTCTGGGTGTTTATGTGGTTCTTTAAGGGTCTCTATTTGTTTGGGTGTCTCTTGGGTCTCTCAGGGTCTGGGTGTCTCTGTGGATTTCTAAGGGTCTGGGTGTCGCTGTGGGTGTCTCTGTGGGTCTCTCAGGGTCTGGGTGTTGCTGTGGGCCTCTGTGGGTCTCTCAGGGTCTGGGTGTCTTTGTTCGTCTCTATGGGTCTCTGTGCGTCTCTATGGGTCTGTTAGTTTTTAGCTTAGAGTTAGCAACAGTTGCACGGTAGTTATTATTTTGAAAGTTAACTTTAGTTCATAGCAGTCGTCTCACGGCAGGTTATTATTTGGTGAGCAAGTTCATAGTTAGCAGTAAGTATTACGACAGTTAAACATTTGTTGGTTCGTATTTAGCAGCAGTTTTATGGCAGTTAGTATCTTTTTTAGTTTGTTCATATTTAGCAGTAGTTTTACGGCAGTTAGTATTTTGTTAGTTTATAGTTAGCAGAAGTTTTGCGGCAGTTAGTATTTTGTCAGCGAGTCCATAGTTACTGGCAGTTTCACGGCTTTAACTCCAATCATTGATGATTATTTTCCGAGAGTGCGGGCCACCACGGAAGGCCCTCTGACTCACCACAAGGGCAGCGACAGCATCTTGACGGCCACGAGCGTTTTGGTTTTGTGGTCGCGGCACTGCAGCACCAGGCCCTGGCCTCCCTCGCCGATCATCTTCTGCACCTCATAGCGGTAGTTGAGCTGTTCCTTGCGGACCTAGGAGGCGGAGGAAGAGACGGGGGCCGGTACTCAGAGGCGTCGCAATCGGAGCGCCTAACGCTCGGTGGTGGCAGCAGCAGTCGGGGCTTCCAAGACCGCCATTTTCCACCACGGAGGTTTATTTTTGCTTGGGTGTTAGATCGCGGAAATGTATAAATGGTTCGTTAAACTGCCGAATGCTTGACTTAAAGCTTTTGTGACTGCAGGAATTCATATTCTTGGGTCTTTCGGTAAAGTCACGTAGATAGGTTCAAAGAAAATAATAAAAAATAACAGAAAACCACGACGTTTTGATCGCAACGCAAGCGTTCGTCTTCCTGTTATTTTTTTATATTTTCTTTGAACCTATCTACAGTACGTTAATTTACCGAAAGACCCAAGAATACCGAATTGCGTTAAAACTTGGGGGAGTTGTTCGCCTTTTTGCGTTTATCCATCTAACACTGGGTAGTGAGACACTGGTAGTGAGACACTGGTGGTGAGACACTGGTGCTGAGATACTGGTGGTGAGACACTAGTGGTGAGACACTGGTGGTGAGACACTGGTGGTGAGACAGGTTGTGAGATACAGGTTGTGAGACACTGGTTGTGAGACACTGGTAGTGAGACAGGTAGTGAGATACAGGTAATGAGACACTGGTGGTGAGACACTGGTGGTGAGACACTGGTGGTGAGACACTGGTGGTGAGACACTGGTGGTGAGATGCAGGTTGTGAGACGCTGGTTGTGAGACGCTGGTGGTGAGACGCTGGTGCGAGACGCTGGTGGCGAGACACAGGTTGTGAGACACTGGTGGTGAGACAGGTAATGAGATACTGGTCGTGAGACACTAGTGGCGAACAACTGGTGGTGAGACCCAGGTATTGAGACTAGGCCCGAAAGAAGGCTGTTCTCTCTGGTGTAGACCAATCAGTTTCAAAGGCAATGCCACATTATCAGAGCATGTTGTTTTTGCATGTTCACCACCAGTATGTGTTTTATTTCCAGAAGGGCTGCAGCCTATTGTTATGCTGTTAAAGGCACCACCACTGAGCTGCTGTGTAACTATTCTTGTTCAAAAGCAACCTGGCCATCTCAAATCATTGCTCAACGAAGTGGCCTTATCATTACCACCGTGTGGAAATGTATAGCGGAAGCCAATTGCTCTCAATGTGTGGTGACGTTGATTATAAATGTGGAAGGAAAGAAAACGGAGGACCCGGAGAAAAATCCACGCAACCACGGAGAGAGAGATAGAGACGCAAACTCCAAATATACAGCAGGTGTCAGGGTCGGTATCCAACCCACGACCTTCTGTATACCAGGCGAGGGAGTTAACATCTCCTGGCCATTGCTGCCGACGTCGTTGTGAGAGAATTAGCCAAAGTTTGCTACACATGGCGTGAAATAACTTTAACACATACACAGAGACCCAGATCTTGAGATACTCAGAGAGACCCACAGACACCCAGACCAATAAAGACCCACACAGATCCCTAGACAACCACAGAGACCCCCAGAAACCCGTAACACAAAACCTTAACTGACTGTCTGTGTCTGGTGGTGGTGGCAGGTTACACATTTATACTCATGCCTTCTAACCCAACAAAAACCTCTGTGGGTGTCTAATGGTGTCTCTTTGGGTGCTTCTGTGGGTCTCAATAGGAGTGGGTCTCTGTGGGTGTCTCTGTGGGTCTCTGTGGGTGTCTCTTTGGGTCTCTGTGGGTCTCTGTGGGTGTCTCTGTGGGTCTCTGTGGGTGTCTTTTTGGGTCTCTATGGTTCTCTATGGGTGTCTCTGTGGGTCTCTGTGGGTGTCTCTATGTGTGGCTCTGTGGGTCTCTATGGGTATCTCTGTATCTCTGTGAGCCTCACAGGGATGTAGTTGTTGTTTTCGTCGTCGTAGCTGTCGTTGTTGTTGCCGCCCCGGGGTTTGCCGACCTTGTCCACAGTGAAGAACCATACTTGTTTCATGGCCGCCAGCTCGAGCTTCTGGCGATGACTCAGCTGGGGCCCGAAGAGATCCAGGATCTCTGCACACGTGCCAGCAACAACAACTTAAACTTTGAACTATTTCTGTTTCTTTTACATTCCAGGTAAGAGCTACATCGTCATCCTCATCATCATCTTCACGTGGAGACTCATAACTCAACTCAGACCCACAGAGACCCACAGAAACCCAAACTCGTATTGAACCATAGAGACCCACAGAGACCCATAGAGACCCATACAAGTATCGAACCATAGAGACCCATAGAGACCCATACTTATATAGATCCATAGAGACCCACAGAGATCCATGCTCATATCGAACAATAAACACCCACAGGGACCCATCGTAAAACTAAACTATATGTATATAAATTTTGATTTAAAGCTTTCGTGACTGCAGTAATTCATATTCTTAGTTTTTTTGGTAAAGTCACGTTGAAGGGAAACAACAAAATAATAAAATATATATAAAACAATAAAAAATTCTCACGACGTTTCGACCATAACTCAAACGGTCGTCTTCAGGTGTGTTGGTTTGCATAAATTTATTTTTAAACGGCGCATTTATTTATTTTAAAAAAACGTTAGCGCCACGCGCAACGATTTGGCAGTTTATTTAGGACTAGTCCATCTATATTCTGAAAAGAGGAGGGGGGACACGAAATTTTTTATAATGTATGCTGTCTGAAAGCCACTGTAAGCGTGAACAATCAATTAAGACCTGAAATGGTTTATCAAATCTTTCCAATGATTGCTAAGATAGAATCCATCTTCTCGATTGCTATCTTAGCAATCATTGGAAAGATTTGATAAACCATTTCAGGTCTTAATTGATTGTTCATGCTTACAGTGGCTTTCAGACAGCATACATTATAAAAAATTTCGTCTCCACCCTCCTCTTTTCAGAATATAGATGGACTAGTCCTAAATAAACTGCCAAATCGTTGCGCGTGGCGCTAATGTTTTTTTATAAATAAATAAATGCGCCGTTTAAAAATAAATTTATGCAAACCAACACACCTGAAGACGACCGTTTGAGTTATGGTCGAAACGTCGTGAGAATTTTTTTTATTGTTTTATATATATTTTATTATTTTGTTGTTTCCCTTCAACGTGACTTTACCGAAAAAACTAAGAATATATATGTATATATTTTTTATTTTGGCTGGTAAAGCCCCACCGAAGTGGCTGATATCATCATCTTCATCACGTGGAAATATATCGCGACAGCCAAATACTGTATACACATGTAACATGGCCACCATGACAACCCCCATCCAATATGGCTGACGTGACATCCCCCATGCAACATGGCCATTAGGACAGCCCTCATGCAACATGGCCGCAATAAAGTCCCCCTTGCAACATGACCGAAGTTACATCCCTCACGCAACATTGCTGCCGTTACATCCCCCATGTCACATGGCCACCATGACAACCCCCATGCAACATGGCCACTGTGATATCCCTCATGCAACGTGGCCATCCTATAGACTGCCATGCATCATGGCCACCGTGAAATCCCCCACGTAGCATGTCCAGAATGACGTCCCCCATGCAACATGGCCATAGTAATGTACCCCATGCAACATGGCTGCCGTGACATCCCCCATGCAAAATTGCAACAATGAAGTCACCCGTGCAACATGGCTGCCATAAAGTCCCCTAAGCAACATGGCCACTGTGAAGTCCCCCATGCAAAATGGCGGTAGTGACTTCCCCCCATTCACCGATGGACATGTTTGCTCACTGCTGTTCTCACCTCGAGGCGATTTACTGCAGATAGGGCCGGTGCCGGCTGCTGACAGCGCGCTCCACGTGTTGTCAGAGACTCCCTCCCTCCTTCTCGCTCCAGCTTGGCTCGTCTACACGCACATACACACACAAAAACAATATTGAGAGTAGGCTCCTCTACACACACAAACTTCAAATAAACAGTAGGCCTCAGGGTCGGGGTCGAACCCACGACCTCCTGTATACCAAGTGAGGTTGTTAACATCTCTTCTAGATTTAAAGCTTTCATGACTGTCTGGAGCAATAACTGTCTGGAAGCCAGTCTCGTCCCTTCACCTGATGAAGGCCGCTTGTGTTGTGGCCGAAACGTCGTGATTTTTTGTTATTTTATTTTCACCTACGTGACTTTACCCAATAGAACCAAAGAGTATGTTAACATCTCGCAACCATGGTGCCACAGAGTAGTGTACAGGCATCACAAACACTCACTACATCTCGCGGAGGATCGTTCCACGGTTCGGTTCGCAAGTGCGAGTTGTAAGTCGATGTTAAACAAATATATATTTCATGGAAGCTCGTTCATAAGTGCTGGTGGTGTTCGTAAGTGAGGGTCGTGATCGTAAGTGAGGGTGCTCTTCGTAGGTGAGAGTGATGTTTAAAAGTGTGGGTGGTGTTAGTAAGTGTGGGTGGTGTTCGTAAGTGTGGGTGGTGTTCGTAAGTGTGGGTGGTGTTCGTAAGTGTGGGTGGTGTTCGTAAGTGTGGGTGGTGTTCGTAAGTGTGGGTGGTGTTCGTAAGTATGGGTGGTGTTCCAAAGTGCGGGTGGTGTTGGTAAGTCGAGTGTAGGGGCCCATGCGTACCTCCATGGTGTTAATGCTCAGAGTGGCTTTGCTCACGCAGCAGTCCCCAAGGTCTCTGTGTGTAAAGCTGTGGGTGGGGGGTGGGAGGGGGGTCGAGATGGTGTAAAGAGTCACAACACGAACTCACATCCTCACCACTGTCCCACATCCCTGCACCAGGAACCCACCATCCTCACCACAAACCCCCATCCTCACCACGAACTCACAACACAGATTCTAGATTTAAAGCTTTCGTGACTGCAAGGATCCATACTCTTTGGTTCTATTCGGTAAAGTCACGTAGGTAAAAAATAAAACAACAAAAATCACGACGTTTTGGCCACAACACAAGCGGCATTCATCAGGTAAAGGGATCAGGCTGTCTCGAGGACAGCGCTGGAGTGAAACACAGCCACGCTCATACCGCGACCTTTAAGCTGTGTGCGAGGAAACAAGGTGCCTTGACAAAGGAATTAGCATAAAAATTAGCATTTGATTGGCCGACTTAGCATAGAGGCGGTGTACGTGCGGGTGCACATGCCGGTTGGCGCGGGCGGGGGGGAGTTTACCTATTGATGGTGTGAAAAGGGAATTTTTAAGAGCTGCGAAAGTTTGGGGTACCACTACTTGAAAAATATACTGTACCATTGAAAATTAGTTTAATGTTTGGTTCGATTTAGAACATCTTTCCAATGGTTGCTTAATTTGAAACCATCTTCTCGGTTGAAATTGTGTCTGTGTTTGTAGATCTGAATTGTCTCGTGAACAAATCTCAGAGATTTGTTCACGAGGCAAATCAGATCTATGAGAATTCAGCGAAGATACAGCAGCAGAAGTGAGTGTGAAAGCTTGATACTCCGATCAAAACCATCACACTGCCATATATAGCAGGCGTTACTAAAAAGATCTCCAAAATTCTAAACAAATACAAGATCCTGGTCCGGTTCAATACAGTACACAAAATCCGTGACCTGATCCCTTCCGTGAAGGATGTCATTCCTGACTTACAGTACCCCGGAGTTTACAGATTGATCTGCACCTGTGGTGACTGCTATATCGGGGAGACGAAACGACATGTCTATGACCGAATTCGCGAGCACAAATCAGATTTATAACACGGCAGAACGAATTCTTCTGCCGTAGCTGATCACTGTTACAACGCTGTGGGTGATCACGATATAATTTTCTCTGATACCAAGGTTCTTTGTTCACGAGACAATTCAGATTTACAAACACAGCCACAATTTCAACCGAGAAGATGGTTTCAAATTAAGCAACCATTGGAAAGACGTTCTAAATCGAACCAAACAATAAACTTATTTTCAATGGTACAGTATATTTTTTCAAGTAGTGGTATCCCAAACTTTCGCAGCTGCTTAAATTCCCTTTTCACACCATCAATATGTAAGCTCCCTCTCCACCCCTCGCCGGTCTGCACATGTTCAACCCCTCTACACCGTTCATCATGCTAAGTCCGCCAATTAAATGCAAATTTTTATGCTAATTCCTTTGTCAAGGCACCTTTATTCCTCTCACACAAGCTTAAAGGTCGCGGTCTGAGCTTGGCTGTGTTCACTCCAGCGCTGTCCTCGAGACAGTCTGGTCCCTTCACCTGATGAAGGCCACTTGTGTTGTGGCCGAAACGTCGTGAATTTTTTTATTTTAATTTTGAATTTTTATTGTTTTATACTTTTACGTGACTTTACCGAATAGAACCAAAGAGTATGGAACCATGGAGGTACGCATGGGCCCCTACACTCGACTTACTAACGCCACCAGCACTTACGAACACCACTAGCACTTACGAACACCACTAGCACTTACAAACACCACCCACACTTATGAACACCACCCACACTTACAAACACCATCCACACTTACGAACGAGCTTCCATGAAATATATATTTGTTTAACATCGACTTACAACTCGCACTTGCGAACCGAACCGTGGAACGATCCTCCGCGAGATGTTGTGAGTGTGTGTGATGCCTGTACACTACTCTGTGGCAACACGGTGGCGAGATGTTAACAACCTCACTTGGTATACAGGAGGTCGTGGGTTCGACCCCGACCCTGAAGCCTACTGTTTATTTGAAGTCTGTGTGTGTAGAGGAGCCTACTCCAATATTGTTTTTTTGTGTGTGTATATCCGTGTAGACGAGCCAAGCTGGAGCGAGAAGGAGGGAGGGAGTCTCTGACAACACGTGGAGCGCGCTGTCAGCAGCCGGCACCGGCCCTATCCGCACTAAATCGCCTCGAGGTGAGAACAGCAGTGAGCAAACATGTCCATCGGTAAATGGGGGGAAGTCACTACCGCCATTTTGCATGGGGGACTTCACGGTGGCCATGTTGCTTAGGGGACTTTATGGCAGCCATGTTGCACGGCGGACTTCATTGTGGCCATTTTGCATGGGGGATGTCACGGCAGCCATGTTGCATGGGGTATATTACTATGGCCATGTTGCATGGGGGACGTCACTCTGGACATGTTACGTGGGGGATTTCACGGTGGCCATGATGCATGGCAGTCTATAGGATGGCCACGTTGCATGAGGGATATCACAGCGGCCATGTTGCATGGGGGTTGTCATGGTGGCCATGTGACATGGGGGATGTCACGGCAGCATTGTTGCATGAGGGATGTAACTTCGGCCATGTTGCAAGGGGGACTTTATTGCGGCCATGTTGCATGAGGGCTGTGCTGATGGCCATGTTACATGGGGGATGTCACGTCAGCCATATTAGATTGGGGTTGTCATGGTGGCCATGTTACATGGGTATATAGTATTTGGCTGCTGCGATATATTTCCACGTGATGAAGATGATGATATCAGCCACTTCGGTGGGGCCTTACCAGCCAAAATAAGAAAATATATACACACATATAGTTAGTTTTACAATGGGTCCCTGTGGGTGTTTATTGTTCGATATGAGCATGGATCTCTGTGGGTCTTTATGGATCTATATAAGTATGGGTCTCTATGGGTCTCTGTGGGTCTCTATGGTTCGATATGAGTATGGGTTTCTGTGGGTCTCTGTGGGTCTGAGTTAAGTGATGAGTCTCCACGTGAATATGTTGATGAGGATGACGATGTAGCTCTTACCTGGCATGTAAAAAAAACAGAAATAGTTCAAAGTTTAAGTTGTTGTTGTCACGTGTGCAGAGATCCTGGATCTCTTTGGGCCCCTGCTGAGTCATCGCCAGAAGCTGGAGCTGGCGGCCATGAAACAAGTATGGTTCTACACTGTGGACAAGGTCGTCAAACCCCGGGGCGGCAACAACGACAGCTACGACGACGAAAACAACAACTACATCCCTGTGAGGCTCACAGAGATACAGAGATACCCACACAGACCCAAAGAGACACCCATAGATACCCACAGAGACCCACAGAGACACCCATAGAAACCCACAGAGAAACCCATAGAGACCCACAGAGACCCAAAGAGACACCCACAGAAACCCACAGAGACACCCATAGAGACCCACAGAGAACCACTCCTATTGAGACCCACAGAGGCACCCAAAGAGACACCATTAGACATCCACAGAGGTTTTTGTTGGGTTAGAAGGCATGAGTATAAATTTCTAACCTGCCACCACCACAAGACACAGACAGTCAGTTAAGGTTTTGTGTTACGGGTTTCTGGGGGTCTCTGTAGGTGTCTAAGGATCTGTGTGGGTCTTTATTGGTCTGGGTGTCTGTGGGTCTCTCTGGGTATCTCAGGATCTGGGTCTCTGTGTACGTGTTAAAGTTATTTCACGCCGCATGTAGCAAACTTTGGCTAATCCACTCACAATGACGTCGGCTGCAGTGGCCAGGAGATGTTAACTCCCTCGCCTGGTATACAGAAGGTCGTGGGTTGGATAGCGACCCTGACGCCTGCTGTATATTTGGAGTTTGCGTCTCTATCTCTCTCCGTGGTTGCGTGGATTTTTCTTCTGGTCCTCCGTTTTTTTTCCTTCCACATTTATAATCAACGTCACCACACATTGAGAGCAATTGGCATCCGCTATACATTTCCACACGGTGGTAATGATAAGGTCACTTCGTTGAGCAATGATTTGAGATGGCCAGGTCGCTTTTGAACAAGAAGAGTTACATAGCAGCTCAGTGGTGGAGCGTTTAACAGCATAACAATAGGCTGCAACCTTTCTGGAAATAAAACATATACTGGTGGTGAACATGCAAACAACAACATGCTCTGATAATATGTGGCATTGCCTTTTAAACTGATTGGTCTACACCAGAGAGAACAGCCTTTTTTCGGGCCTAGTCTCAATACCTGCATCTCACCACCAGTTGTTCGCCACCAGTGTCTCAC